TTTTACTCACTAATTCAGAATGAAGCCAAATTTCAAAATTCTTTTTAAAGCAGATCTGTATTTTTCACGTGTAGATGGATTTTCCATAGGAGGTATAGATTTTCTGTAGTAGATATCCTTTACTGTCAGTTTACGTCTTAAATTATCGTTTCCAAAGTAATACAGAACACGTGAGCTCTCAGTATATAAAGGATGCTGGAAATTCTCGTCATCCCTGAACTTTTGCTAGAGAGGAGATTGAATTCGGAGGTTTCTGTGTGTGGATCATCAGTGATGTCTGGAGGGGATGACAGAACAATGGAAACTCAGAATGCGTGCGTATATCATGTTCTTAGCAACACGCTCTCAGTTGGAATCTGACACAATGTTTGCAAAAGCAAACCTATTCTAAATTAGTTTGCAGTTAATTGGCTGTGAAGGGAAATGCACCTTGCCAAAAAGGGTTTGAAATATGAAGCAGTTTGGATCTGTGAAGAAAGTTGATCTCTGTACTTGAAGAATCACGAGCTCTTTCATGGGCATCTGGGAAATAATATGGTCATAATCTGCAGTGCCTTTGTGAATTCCATTATTTGGCAAAAGGGGCATCCGCTTGCTACCATTTGCTTGAAGATTGATTTTAGAGGGGTAGTCTTAGCCTGTATGTTGGGGCTGTTCCTTTGCTGTTGGGAGAAGAGGTTTCATTATGGTGATTTCAGTAATGTTTTGTATATGTTGTGGAGAAAGACAAGAACCAGAAGACCATATAATGTAAAGATCCTTTTTCCATTTTTCCTCCTGGGACTCGAGATGAAATGAAGGGTCCCACCCACAGCAATGCTTGAAGTCTGTGTAGTGTTGAATGTTCTTGCGTGTCTCCTTGGTCTTTCCAAGCATAAACGGAGAAAGTCTCACTGTAGACCTGTGAAATAGGTGTGGTGGAGGTGGACACAGAAAAAGCATAGGTCGACTTATCCAGGGTCACACAACTAATCAGTGAAAGAGCTGGGATTTGAACCAGGTTCCTGAAACCTTTTTGTGAATCTAACTACGTGATCATGCAAGGTTTTTTGAGGTGTATGAAAGGAGGAGTTCCTTCAGTGACTGAGCTGTAACACAGGAGGAACATGCACTGCTCCATCTTCAGAAACCGGTAGTGAGAGGCTGGATCTTTCAAGATGTAAATTCATTTTCATTATGTTCCCATGCTGGCTTTTAACAGATGCCTGTGACTTTTCAGGATAATACATCTGTTTCATTAGATTGCACTATATAGTAAAGAATTACAATAACCTCTGAAATGCCACTGCCAGCAGATAGAGGGCCTCTCATTTTCTGTGAAGCACTGCCTTTTTTCTACATAGACCTTTCAGAAGGACAAGAGCAACATACTCTCTTCAGCCACCCATTAGCCAAGCAGGTATCTTTAAGAAAATAGCTCTAACGGGAGTTCTTTAGTGGAATCAGAGAGCTGAAATGGAGAATTACGTTTCTTTCCATTTGAGAAAATAGAGGATGAATGCCAAATCACAACTAATTCCTCTGCTACGTGGCTAAGGAACTATCTGTGTGGCTACAGTGGTAAGAGCAGCTACCATACCTACTGATAATCCAGCAGGTATTATCTCCAGTCAGTACCTAATTGCCTTAGAGGAACTTATTACACTGGAGCCGGTATTGTGTCAGGAACGATTCACACAAAGTATCTCCAGAGTGATCAAGATGATCCTGCTGTGGGCTACAGGATGTACCAGCAAATTCCAAGAGTGGCTTTGTGAGTAAGCTGACATTTTGAAAACTCAATTGGCACAGGATGGTCTGCACATTGTTCTGCGTCTTAGGGAAATGCTAATAGCAGAAATAATGACTGATTCTCTTGTCAGGTATTTTAGTACCCAGTGCAAGAATCACACTTTGTGAAGTGTGAAGTGTAACAAATACCTTTCATTCCTAGATTCTTTGAAAACATAACCTAAAGATCCTTGTCTAACATATCTCAAAATTTCTCTGCAATATTATTTGTTAGCCCTTTGTAATCACCACAACTCAAGATACATGAATTAGTTTAGGAAAATAGCACCTGTTTTCCATCTCAGAGAACGTCCAATTCTCATTAATACTAATGGTTGTTACACACATGCACTGACAATAACCTTACAGGTTTTATGGCCTAGTGATTTACCAATTATGCAGGCTGATACTAGTTTTATGGTGTGGATGCTATCTTAACATTTCACATGATAAACACACAGGCTTGCAGCTGGACAAAACACAGTGGATTAAATAAAAGAAAACTTTATTCTTGCCCGGCAGAATGCTAAGAGTTTGCACCAGCAGAGCAGATTTTAGGAAGGGAACCTCTGGAGACCCATCTTTCAGCAAATGTTCTTTATTTGTCTGCTCTGGGAGGAAACAAGTTCCATCCTTGGCTCCATAACTCCATCAGAGTTACTTGATGCTGATTAACTTACACAGAGGATGAAAGCAGGAAGGTATTTGAGTACCATTCTCCTAGGGAGTCAGATAACATGGTTAGGAAGTTCTCTTGTGAATTCCGACCACCAGGTAAGTGTTCTTTCTTGGTGCAAGGTGGTTTACAGGCAACTGCAGATCTCACTGGGAATTGGGTAATAAAACAAATTACTTAAAAGCTAGGTGTGTAGGTGTTGATAATGGGTATTTTAGGGCTATTTTGAGCTAATTCTTTCAATAGCGTACACAATGCTCTTGGTTGTAGTATTGAACTCATCTCTACCTCAGCTAACGTGTACCAGAAGATTGTATAGCTTATGATCACTGCTCTATTTGCTCAAATCTAATCAAGAACTATGAAGGTGATACTACTTCCCCTTCAGTTATTTTGGTAGGTGCTAAGGGACCGAGTGCTGCAGAGGAAAACTACACAACGCATCGGAAAATAGCTTAGAGAACCACTTTTTTAGGTTCCTACCTTTAACTTTTGCAGATAGTCAGTAGTTACAGGAAATAACATCTTTGGTCTAAAGTTGGGGGTTTATCACTTCATCTGTGATGGTAAAGTACATTATCAGAGAGGAGAATACAGGAATGCTGAGTTTAAATAAGCTTCACAGGTGAGGACAAAAGAAGACTATGCAGACCTACCAAATTTCTTGCTCCTTTGCCTCTTGGTCTTGTATTTCGGTAGAGAGGAAGAACCCTGACCATAGAGATGTTCTCATGTGAGAATCTATATGGCAAAATTATGGCCCAAAAATATTTTACGTGAAAGCAAAGCAGGTTGCTTATGGCAACTCCTGCATAATGAAGGAACACAATGAAGAACTGCAGTTCATATTACTCTTCAGGTCTGTTCTATTTTCATAGGTGGTGTTTTTTTGTTGTTCGGTGTTGTGTTTTTTTTTTAAGTAGGAAATTGCATAGTATAATTACAAGTTCATTTGCATTCATATTACAAGCTGTGAGCTAGTACATACTTTTAGATTTAAAAAATACTGTTAGCAAGTGTGACTTGCATCCATAAATTTCAGAAATGGGAATGGAGTTTACACTTAGTGAAAGTTCCTTCTCTTGTTAGCCAACAACCAGCACCCTTCCTGTAAAAAGTGGGAGGTCAGCAACGGGGTAAATGCAACTTCATTTTACAGTGTAATGGGCAAGGGCATAGAGCAGTTCAATATGCCTTTTGAGAACCGAGGATCACAAACATTTTATTGGACTTAATACTTATAGTCAAGCATAGCCAAACATCATCTAGAGGATACTGTTTTTTCCTAATGGAAAGGTGTCTTCTATTGCTTTTTTGTTTCTTCAGGCTTCTGTCATCTTGAGATGATAAAATCCTTTCCAATGGGAAATATTGCTGCAATTAAGTTTACTACTAGGACTTACAATTTTTTATCCATATTAGAATAAATGGGTTCAATTGATAATCCCGCCTTCCATTTCTGTAATAAATGGAATTGAAGAAAACAGTTCTATAGCAGGTCTCATTCCACCAACTGCTTCTATAAATGTGGTATGACTTTTGAAATGCATTTTTGTTACGTCGTAAAGGTTATTAGATGACTATATCTTTTATGCTTAGTACCTAATGTGCTATGCAAAGAATAATTGAGGAAGGTGAATCGGAAAATATCTGAGAGCGTTATCAGATCTCCGCACGCACTTTCAATCGATCTGTTTGCCCAGCCGCTGTTGGATGGGCGCTCTCTGCCCTCCTGCCTGTCGGGTGGAGGGAAAATAACCTGTCAACATCTTTCTGCCTCGTGAGCATCTTGGCGATCGCTCCTTGACTGCTGTCTCAAGGAGCACAGGGCAGCAGCTGGGTTTTGGTGTGCCCAGTGCTGCATCTCGCTCCTGATTTCTGACCAGCCGGTGCCCCATGCTGGGGCCCTCTTCCCGGTCAACTGGAGGAGGCACCATCACGCAGGTGAATTGCATCTATCTGACGGCCACAAAATGCTTTTACTTCAGTAATTTCCCTCAGCGAGAGCCCAGCTGCTTTTATGCCTTGATTGGAGGTAACACTAGTGAAATTGCAATAACCTCACGAATGTACTTCTCTTCTGTATGTAAATCCTTTCAGGAAGTGCATGACAGCCTCCGTTTTCTATGGGTCTCCGTTTGTAAAGAAGCTGTTATCACAGAATAAGTTTAATGGGTCGTGAATTTTGTGTTGAAAGGAGAGTCTCTCCATGACTTCTGATCCGCCTGCAATAGACCTACTGGCTCGGCAGCAAGTGCATTAGGCTAAATATGCTTCCTCCATTGACTCTGAAGGTAACAGCCCTAAATGCCTCATTAAATTTTCACGGGTGACTGAGAGAAGCCATGAGAAAAACACCACGATAGCAGCGGGGGCGACGGCGGCTGCGCCCCCCCCCAGTGCCTCGGGAGCCCCACGGGGGCCGTGGGCCACCACCCCGCCTCGGGGGGCGATGGGGGGCAGCGTGGGGCAGCCCAGCCTTGGGGCTGTGGGATTAGGGAGAGCCGAGGAAGGGCTGGGAGACCGCGTTGGTGGCTTTGTGGCCGGGTTTCACGCGTGGGCAGGGAGCAGACTGACAGAGACCGACTGACAGACCGGGGCGGGCGGCGTGTAGGGGGCGAGCTCCCCGCTCCTGCCGTCCCCCTTCTCCCTGCCCACCAACAGCGCCGAGACCCCCAGCCTTAGGAAAGGAGGGGAAAGAGGAGGAGGAGGAGGAGACCGACCCTCATCAGCAGCTTGCCTCCACCACACGCCTCCCCTTCTCCCCTCCCTCTGGCCTCAGCGCCGCGCTGGCGGGGGCCGGCGAGGGCAGGCGACGCGGGAAGGCGGCTCTCAGCATGGACGAGCCATGTGTATCCTAAGGAATAACAGCAGCTGCTGCGCCCACGATGGGGAGCAGAGGAACGCCAGGAGGAGAGGGCTCGCTGGGGCAGGTGAGGGCGCCGCGTCCCTTCTCCCCTCAGCGCTCGGGGGTGAGCGGGGTGCCCGCTGCCGGGGAGCCCCTCACCGGCACGGGGTGCATGGGGACGGGAGGGGAGATCTCCGGAGGAAGTTTTTATTATTATTGTTATTAATATTTGTCCGTTCTCGCCGCGCCGAGGAGGGGAAGGGGCTGGAATCTCCCTCAAGTCGCGGCAACTTGCCGGCTTGCTTCCCCCCCCTCCTCCCCTTTCAGCCGAGTCTCGGGGGCAGAAGCAGCCGCTCGCAGCTGAGCTCTGCCGAGCCCGGACTCTCCATCCCCTGGAGGGTGAAATACGGGAAAAAAAAAAGGAGATAAAATTTTAAAAAATAAGAGATCTCCGGGGCTGCTCCGCGGGTTGCTGCGGGCTGGGCGCGCTGCCTCAGCCTTGAGCCGCTGCCGCCCCCCAGCTGGGGAGCGCCGACCGCGGCTCCGGTGCCGCTGTGCCCCGCTCGTCCCGGGGGTCTCCCCCTCGTTCCTCGGCTCCCGCAGGCTGTCAGGACCGGTGGGCAGCCCGGGCAGGGCTATGCTGGGTTATGCCGGGCTGTGCCGGGCAGCTCCGCGCTGCCTCCTTCCCGGTGAGGGAGCAGCCGGGGCGGGAGACGCCGCGCTGAGGAGCGGCGGGGAAATGGCGCCGGGAGCCGCGGGGCCGGGCTCGCCCTGACGAGCCGGGGGGCGCCTCGCTGAGGGGAGAGACCCTGCCCGGGGGGCCCGGCTGGCGGCGGGGTGCTGAAAAATGCTGCTGGGGAGCCAGGGGGGAGCGAACCGGGGGTGTTTGCCCCTGAGAGGGGGGCTGGGAACCGCCTCTGCCCGGCCCCGGGGGCTCCCGATGGTCCCCTGAGGTGCCCGGGGCTGGGGGCTGCGGGCAGCGCTCGCCCGAGCAGCACCCAAAAAAGCTCGGCCCTAAATCGCAGCCTCCTGAAGCCTGCAGGCAAACAGGCAGCCTTCAGCTCCGCCGCCAACTTCGGCTTTCTTGAGCTCGCGAAGTTGATTTTTTTAGGTCTTTCCTCGAAGTAGTTTTAAAAGCGAAGTCCTTGGGACGCTTTGCCATTTGTCTAAATTCCGAACGCATGTCTGAAGCGTTTAATCATGTTTATTGTCTTCAGCCACTCAAACGGAATAAAAATTACTTATCGTTGATGAAGCTTGTCTTGCAAGCTGTTTCACAGTATGTTTCCGTTGCAAGACACAGCGCTGTGGTAAACTAGTGACAATCGTATTGTTTATTGTTCGTTCCTGCTCCGTCCCCACCCCCTGTGGTGCCGGTATCAGGCTGTTCCTTACCACTCGCCTCAAAAATCAAAACGGGAGCGGAAGTTTTCACCAGCTGGTTTGATATTTCCAATGGTATCGGCAATTTGCATCTTTCATTTTTGCTTTTAAGGTAATTTCCATCAAGCGTGCCGAAGTCAGCTGATAAATATAAAAAGGGGTGAAGACACTAAGCTAAAATGCACTCTCAAATTCCTGAAGTGGAGTTGTAGGTGGAATTAGTGCTGGATTCACAGTCATTGTTTATTTCTGAGCCCCTTTCATAACACCATCCCAAAGCACACCGTTCCTGGCCCCCTTGTCATCACCACTTTGTTTTATTACACATTTAAAATGCACTATTCACGTTGGTCTAGAAGTTCAGATTTATTGTTTGGAGTGCTTTGATACAGCTGCTGATCTTGGACTATACCTCATTGACGGTTTTGCTGCACTTTAACAGTATCTCAGCACAGTGATGGAGGACACCATCATGTTTTCTTGTAGGATTACCTTCGGGACTTCAGTGACTGCACACATCAGTGGTTTCATCTTAGGAGGATTGAAATTGATTTTCTTTTTTTTTTTTCCTCTTTCTTTTTTTTTTAGTTCAGCTAGTGAAAGACCCTGTCTGTGTATGTCCTTTGACCCGTGGCCCCACATGATGAAGTGACACCAGCAGTGGAGGATGTTGACTTGAAGTAGCTGCTGCTAGGGCTTCAGAAGTAGAGGTACCAGAACAAACACACTGTTCTGGCGGTCAGCCTGCTTTGTCCTGTGGGCAGGGCACTGTTTCCAATCATATGTTGGAAGACCCCTATATAAACATACCAAAGTAATTTTAAACCATGAACCTTGTGATTCCTTGTCAGTCCTACTGAAAGACCCTCTCTTGATGCAGAATACAGGAAGGCTGACCTTCCCCTCTCATCCCCAGTTCTGACAGGCCTGTTTGCTTTTAAACACTCAGAATTTCAAATTTTGCAAGATGTTTGTATTGAATTTAAGAATAGCCAACCTACTTGGTTAAATAGTGGTTAGGCGGGAGAACCTCTATTTTTACAGTTGTGTTTACATTTCAAAGTGATAGCAAATACCAGTAAAGAGGACCAAGATTTTCTAGACTTTATAGTTCAAATAAACTTTCCCAGTCAATATTTAGTCAAGGTCTTGATGGTTAAAGTTAACTGTGCAAGTCAATGTTTGGTCAAGGTAATGACTTGATTTTTACAAACACTACCCAAGCATTCTTGCAAAATTAATCAGTTTCTGGATCACAGTACATTTCATCAGCCAATTATTAGGAATAAAAATAGGCAATTACTTGCTCTCAGATGTCCTGTGCTAGTTGGTGTTATTTCAGCACTGCTTGCCACCAGCCCTTCTGTGGCCTCATTCGTATACTGTTAGTTCTACCTCTAAAGCATGTATCTGCACACTGGATTTTTTGAGATAAAGTAAGTCTTATACTACCCTGTTTTTATAGGTGGGAAAATGAGGCATGGGTTGGCCAGCTGCTAGCTCTTAAAAGGAGTTGTGAATCCGTAGAGCACAGCAGCAGCAACCTTTACATATTGAGATCCAAGTGAGCGTTTCAGGAGCCTGTGCTGGGCACCCAGTTCCTCATATAGCATGCGGGATGAGGCAGGCATTTCTGGTAATGCAATCATTGGATAAAATATGAAAACAGTTCTGGTGTCTGGGACAAAAGTGATGTAATTGAATATGTTGACATTGGTACTTACAGTGCGTGACTCAAGTGTGTTGTGACATGGGAAGGAACTGGAGGACTCTACTGCTATTCTTCCTTTCTTGGGAAGAAACTGAGATCTTCATTATTGCAAGTTGTCACTTAAGTCTCTTCAACTGACACTAATATCACAGTCTGGACTTCAGTTGTGCCAGATTTTTTCTTTTTTTCTTCCTTTCTTTTTTTTTTTTCTTTTTTCTTTTTATTAATTGAACCACTTGCAAATGCATTCCATGCAATTACATGGATATTAGAGTAGATATTCATTAGGATTTTACTAATCTAAACCTCAAGTGCTGTTCTGCAAATTTGCCAGCCTTTGTAAGGGAGTGCTTGACTTCATCAGTAGCAGTGTTTTATTATGAGTATTTTGATACAGTAGAATGAAAAGCATATATTCTAAACCAAGTAATTAATCAGATTTAAATATTTTCATTTTCATACTTTGGCTTGACACATAGAGAAGCTGCAACTCTGTACTTTGCACATAATAGTAGATTTTGCCCAGTCTAGCTCCAACGGAATTATATTTCATGGCCCTGCTTTAAGAATTTAATCCACAAATCAATGTTCCATTTCTATTTAAAGGCAGCAGAATTGTTCCTACTTAGGAAAAGTAAGTAACCCAGTAGTGTTGGTTAGAGAAAAGCTGGCATGTTATTGTGTGCCAAGTCATCTGTGTATCTAATCCTATTTTCAAGTGTTGCAGGTATAAGCGGGAATTGTTTGTTTTAACTGTGAAGCATGGAAACTTCCCATTCCTTTGTTGGAAAAAGCTTTTTATCATTTAAGCACTGAGCATTGTAAGAACTTGTAAGGCATTGTAAGAACACTGTAACAACAGTTACAGTGAAAGTTTTCTCTATTTTCTTATTTTTTGCGCACACCAATCCTGCAAGGATCTGGTGGCAGTGACCTTGCTGGTTGCAGTGGGGTCTGCACAGTTTGTTTCAGATTTGCCCCAAGTTGCCATTTCGAAGCACCAGATCAGAGAGACCTCTCAGCTTCCATCTCTTAATCTGTATGTGGCTTCTGGAGGTGTTGGGGTGAAGCTGGTACCTGGGATGACCAGCCATGTGCTGTGCAGGTGCTGTGAGCTGTCACGTCCCAGCTGTGGGGGAAGCAGCTACCAAGGAGCAGCTCTTCAAGCTCAACTGCATGTCCTCACCGACCTGCCATGGAGCAGTGGGATGTCTGAAGGACTACCTCGCATGTCCTCTTCTTGGATATGTGAAGTAGCTGGCACAGTTTCATGCTGGTACCTTAGAGGTGTGAAGATTTACTTAGGTCGCTCGTGGGATCAGAAAGCATGGTGACCACAGCAAGCTTTAAAAAGCACAGGAGAAGTGCCCCAGACAAGGCTTGGGGCAGTTTCCAGTCTGAAATCCTGTGCTCTTTCTATGGATAGCACTTCTCCCGTCATTCCATTGCTGCTGGTTTAGTGAGGATCCAGAAATTATTACTTTTCTTCAAGGGATGTATAAGGTTAAAAACATCTAAGTACACAAAGGCACTCTCACAGTTCTTCCTATTTTGAATTTTGTGCATCTCTTTGAATGGCTGCATGTACGTATATGCAAAGGTTTCTTAGTTGCTCTTTTTATTTCACAAAGGTTGCTCAAGTCTCCAGCTATTTTCAAGCAGCTGCACTGAGAACTTTTTTTTTTTTTCCCCCAGCAAATAGTGATTACTCTTGTGAGTAGAAGAATATCAGTTTCATGAGAGTCTTTGCAATTCCCCAAGCCTGAAGGCAAATGAATAGAAATTTAGTGGACCACCTAGTTCTTGACACAGAATTCTCCAAAGAGGAGTCTGACCTAATTTATATTGTATTGAATCAAATAATCCTATCATGCATGTGTGCTTGCCATTTTGTTTTTCTTTAGCAGGCATATTGCTGTCTTGCAAAATCTTCAGATTTAGATGTTAGGCAATGTCCCTGCGGTTTTAGGAGGTGCCTTTCCTCACTGAGT